ACGGCAGTTACGAATACTTGGTGATGCCTTTTGGGCTCACGAACGCGCCCTCGACTTTTCAGATGACCATGAACGGTGTTTTCCGCGAACTCCTGGATAAATGCGTAATTATCTACCTCGACGACATCCTAATCTACAGCCGCAGCAGGGAGCAGCACTTAAAGGATCTTGATGCAGTCTTCACGCTACTGCACAAGAATCGCCTCATCACGAAAGGGTCTAAGTGCGATTTTCTTAAGCAAGAGTTGGAGTTTTTGGGCCACGTCGTCTCTACCGAAGGCGTGAAAATCGACCCCAGGAAAATCAAGACCATACAGGAATGGAAGCCGCCGACCAACCTCAAGGAACTCCAAAGTTTTCTGGGTTTTGTCAACTACGTCCGCCGCTTTATCCCCAATATGGCTGGGATATCTGCAACGCTAACCGACCGATTGAAGGATCACGATTGTTTTTGGTGGGGTGAGAAGCAGCAAGCTGCATTCGACCAACTCAAAATCGCCCTCACGTCGCCGCCCGTCCTTCGCATCTCCGATCCCAACCGTCCATACGAAGTCATCACCGACGCCAGCGACATCGCCATCGGCGCAGTTCTCCTCCAGGACTTCGGCGACGGGCTGCAACCAGTCGCCTACGAATCACGGAAGCTGCAAGGTGCAGAGAAGAACTATACAGTGCACGACAAGGAAATGCTGGCAATCGTTCATGCGTTCAAGACTTGGCGGTGCTACCTGACCGGAGCTGACGTCACGGTGCGAACGGACCACAAATCCTTACAGTACCTGCGCGCCCAACCGAATCTCAATCCACGACAGATCCGATGGCTCAATTTCCTCGAGTCCAACTTCCACTACACCATCACCTACAAACGGGGTGCCAATAATATCGCCGATGCCTTGACCCGCCCTACCGTCCATACCGTTGCGATACTAATCGCCCAGACCAACCCATTACTTACGGGACTATTCACCCACGGCTACAAGATCGATCCCTTTTTCCGCTCAGCCATCCATCAACAGCATACCACAGCCACCGGGCCATATTTTTATAAGCGTGGTACTTCTCGCATTTGGGTACCAGACTACGATTTACTTCTCGCAGCGGAAACGACGCCATCCTCGTGGTCGTTGACCGACTCACAAAAATGGCGCACTTCATCGCCTGCCAACAGACAATCACCGCCGAACAAACTGCGCAGCTGTTCATCACGAACGTCATCCGCCTGCATGGCCTGCCCTCCGCCATCATTTCAGACCGAGACCCCAAATTCACCTTGAATTTCTGGCGCCACCTGTGGGACCAATTCGGCACCAAACTCCAATTTTCATCCGCCTACCACCCACAAACCGACGGGCAGACCGAACGCGTTAACCAAACCATGGAGCAGCTCATTCGCACCACCTGTACTGACCCATCGACATGGGAGAAATCCCTACCGCTACTCGAATTCGCGTATAATAACGCAACCTCAGCTACAACCCATCACTCCCCATTTTTCCTCAACTACGGACAGGACCCGGTTGTACCCTCTACACCGAACATCGAGTCACCAGTGCCCCGGTCCCAGAAATTTGCTGAAGACATTCTCGCACTCGCGAAAAAGCAGCTGAAGCCATCGGAAAGCTAACCTAATCGCAAGCCGACAAGCTGATCGACATCGACGCGACGTCATTTACAAAGTGGGAGATCTTGTCCTCCTCGACACTCGTAATTTGCGGGCTGCCGATCCGAGCAAAACTCCGACACAGATTCTGCGGACCTTTTCAAGTGACCAACCTCGTGACACCTGTCACTGTCCACCTTCGACTACCGGCTGATTGGCGCCATCAACCCGGCTTTCCACGTCAGTCTTCTCCGACCCTACGTCCCGAGTTCGTCGGACTTAGCACGCAACCGTGGTGTTCCACAACTGACGCCTTTGCAGGAACCGACGACCGAGCCCTTGAAAATTCTCGGCCATCGCATCACCACGCAGCTGAACCGTCGGATGGTTGATTTCCTCATCCGCTGGCGCGATCGCACGTCCGAAGTCGACAGTTGGGTGCCCCTCGCTGACTTAGAATCACATCCGATTCTAACGGCATATTACCAGCGTCGGAATGTCTCCGATGCCTACGGCCTCGTTTAGGAGGGGGGGGTAGTGTAAGGAATTTCCATTCCTTACTGAGTCGCCCGCTACCGCGTACACCCGAACACCTCGACTCATCACGTTCGGCCTACAATTTCGGCCAACCCTTTCTCGAGTCGCGCCCGACAGCGTCGCCACAATTGCCGAACCTACCCACGTCCCGAGGTTATCGCCCTATTACGTCCACTCCTATATAACCTTGTGCTTTCATGGCAATAGGAACGTTGTATTTGCATTATAGTACATTGACATCTTCTAAATCATAACACTCTCATCTTGGAAGTAACACCAGAGGCCTCGACTTCATCGCCGTTCCTTTCACTTGAAGACGCGTTACGTGCCTTTAGGACCCCGACACAGCAGCTTCATGCACCACTTAGAGTAGATACACCTCGTGACGCGGCAGAGTCCCTCCTGAGACCGCTGGCGTATTTGAGATTGGGTGGGATGAGCCAGGCGATGAATTAGATGCCCTATTAAAACAGCAGTTAAACTAATACGAGTATCAATTTGGGGAGCCAGCAGTTACTCCATGAACGTATTGCCGCCGTTCATTGCGCAGCTCTGGCGACAGCAGGTGGCGAAGGCACGGTTGGCGCTCACCCAGCTGCGGCGGCGGCGCGAGAGCTAGTTAGCAGCTCAGCCATGACTCTGCGTTACAGTCCATTTCCCTGCTATTGCAATTCCAACTGTCCGTCTTTCCGCAAAATTTCCCAAGGCATATGTGCTAACGCGATTTGTCCATGCCAGGGCCCCGAGTGCCCGCAATCAGCGGTGGCGTGGTGCGGCGAAGTGGCCTGTGCTGACGACCGTCTGTTTTGTTTCCCATATTTGTGGACCGCTTGTTGAATATTACTCGTAGTGTTAATTCAAAGAATGGCAATCCAGTAATCGCCTCTATGTCCCTGCTAATCCCGTAATTTTTGTCACAACTGCCTTGCTTTAACACCAGAGTTAACAAACAAAGCCTATTTGAATTAGTGTATATAAAAGTTAACGATATTGTTTAGATCGTACCATGTGCGGGTGCATCCTCTCATACCTCTGTTTTGCCCGGATCCCGTCGAGCAACAATGAAACCGTAACAAATAGACACGATGTCGTAAAATGGGTCACACCTCACATTTGCTTATACTGTTTTCAGAATATGGGAAATACTTTACACAAACGTGTTGTTAGAGAACTTTCAATCAGAGATGAACATTTCGACATTTCGAATTTTGCCAGGTTGCGCGACGCGAGAACCACCTGCTTCCAAGTTGCGCACAGATTCAGGTGGCTCGTACTTTGACGCTCTGGAGCCACTTTCTTTCACTAGCGCTTCCCAGGTGAATTCACGCCTGCCGACCTTGTCCCAACAGATTTCCCAGTGCTGCCGTTCCTGCATACGATCCTGTATTTCATTTGCCACTCTTAGACTTAACTCACTAGCAAGCGTTTTCGGCGTGAAACTCCTATCTTTCATGCATTCCTCCCCTTTTGCTGTTTTGAAAACGCTGTGGCAACACAGCGTTCTTGGGGTGCTTCGACCCTTTGCGCGCCGTAGTTCTGAGTACAAGAATGTATCGTTTTTGGTGTGACGTGTGCAATGTTGCGTACGACAGTGAAGTGTCGCTGACTAACCATGAACGGAGCGAGAAATGCATCGTCGCACACGCGAGAGCACGAGCACGACTGTCGCGGCCCCAAGGCGTGCTTGTTCCGCCATCAATGCCATGCGCCTCATCGGTGCTGCCCGATATGGCGGAGGTTGCAGCGTACATCCCCAGTCTTCCACAGGTCTCATTCAGAATGGCGCCGATGGACGTTGACGAGGATCCACCGTTTCATGATGCAAATCAGTTTTTTGCGGATGCTGACGAGCCGGAGGAAGAGATCAAGTTTGACACATTGCTTGAAACCTTTAAATTCTTGGCGTCGTGCAACAAGGGAGTCGGGCTCAGCTCAAATGACGTCTGGTGGTTTTTCAAACTCATTAAACACGCGGGATTCAACGTGGACGAGCTTAAAAACTGGAACACGAAACATGCAATCGATAAGTACGCATTGGAGCAGCTCGGGATCGAGAAGCGGCGTTATAAAACAGAGGAAGTCGAGGTTACCGGCTGGCACAAACGATTCAAGGTCAAGTTCCTCGACCCGGTGGAGGTACGTCGTTTCCCATGTTCTATCTTGGTCCCCAAAGTGCACCTAAGTAGTTGCACGCTGGCTGATTGCATGCACGATGCCTACCCAACAACCAGCGCCTGTTGTCCATTGCAGGCTTTGATCAAGATGTGGGCGGATCCAAACAATCGCGAAGGATTTGTGCACCGTGCAAAGGCCGTATTAAAAAATGGGGAGAGAGTGTATGGTGCTGCTCACACGGCAGATTTCTGGCTGGATGGACAGGTGCCTGCCGTCTTAGCACGTCTCGTCGTCCGTTGTTTCTGCTACCACCCCGAGTTCTAAAGTAATTTTTGTTTCACTTCGCAGAAGGGTTTGCCAGAGGACGAGTTGGTTTGCCCCATCATAATTTCGAGCGACGAGACCGTTTTGAGCGGTAACGAGCTCGTGAAGGCATGGCCGGTCTACCTGACATTCACCAACATCCCCCTGGCTAGGCGCTGGCTGGACCATGGGAGGGTGCTGGTGGCTCTCCTACCTCTGCCCGACCCTGATATGGAGCCTTGGCAGCGGGTGGAGCTTTTCCAGCGGGCCATAGACATTGTGTTCAAGTCGATGTGGGAAGCCTGCCGCAGGTACTTTTGCTGTTTCTTAGCGATGTTTTCCATGGTTTTCCCTTTGTGGGAGGTGTGGTGAGATGCTTGGTTGTTGCTTCTTTTTCGTTGGAGGAAGTGAGGGGATGGGGTGCAGTGCCTGCAGCAGGGGCGGTGGTGATGCGATGGGCGCATTGATCGTGAATGTGAGGTGGGAGGAATGGGTGGTGGGGTGCTTGGTCGGTTGGTTGCAGGGGTGATGCATGGGGTTCAGTGCCTGCAAGGGGGGGGGGTGGTGCAATGGCGCTGTGAATTGTGAAGGTGAGTGCAGTGGGCGGGGAAAAGGAGCTTGCAAGACATCAGTGAGACCTCATTTACGCCATTCTCCAGAAAGGCTCTCAGGATAACAGCTCACGACTTTGCTGCTCTGCTGCCCAGCTAGAGGTCGCTTCCCTTCATTTCCCTCCCCTGCTACACCCACCCTCTTCGTCCCTCGCTGCACAGATGAGAGTGATGAAACGGCTGCTTGAGTGATGAAGCTATTTTCCCTTCATTCCCCTCCCTTTCTTCTCGCCCACCCTCTTCGTACTCCTTATTTTCCCCACCCTCTTTGCCGCTTGCTGCACAGATTGGAGTGATGAGATGGCTGCATGTGCTGCCCCAGCCAGCTCTGACTTCCCTTTATCCCCCCGCTTCTTCTCTCTGACACCATCTTAATTCCCCACTGCTCAGATGGAAGTGATGAAGGGGCTGCCTGTGCTGGCCCAGGCAGGGGTATCTTCCCATTATTCCCCCTGTTTCCAGTGGCTAGATTGGGATACAGATTACAGTCACCAACGTTCTGGTTTGTTGCCACCTTCCAATCAACGTCCCAGCCTCACTACAAGAACTAAACCTGCCCTTAGGCCCTAGCACCCATGTGCTCCACCTCTCCCTTGCGGGGATTTTCCCAGCCCCCCCTCCCTCCCGACCCTGTTCTCTCGTTTCTGCCCGAACGGACCTTTCTTCCAACCTCCAAAACCCCTTCACTTGATATTCATTGTTATGACGCTGGGTCGAGTCGCCCTGCACCTTGTTATCTAATCTTCACGTACAATGCTCCCTTTCATTTTTAATTTTGCCCCGCAGTTCTCTCCCTCTGACCGACCCTTTCGGTGAAGTGTTTACCGTGTGGCCCAAGCTCTACTCATACGTGGCTGACTACCCCGAAGGTTGCCGAGTCACTAGCACCATGCAGCATGGCTCCTCCCGTCCGTGTAGTGTCTGCTACGTCACACAAGAAAATCTTGACGACATGGACCCAAACCTCAACCATTGGCGCACAGTGGAATGCCAGAAATGGCTCTCCACGCTGGACCAAAAGCAAAGGGAGGCATACTCCACACATGCTGTGCCAGTAAGTTACATTCTAGCCCCCCGGTGTTTCACATCAACGCGTTCCGTATGAGTGTCTAAGGTCCCTCTTTCGATGTGCCCCTTCACATAATTTGTGTCCCTCCCAAACCCCATTCATGGCAGTCGTTCCTCTGGAATGTCAATCGCGAGCACGAGATACACGAGGACTGGGGAAACCCGTACAAAGCTATCATGCTTGACGGGTTGCACGTCATCTTGATTGGCGTGTGGCAATATATTCTCGAGGAGGTTGTCAAAGGGGAAGACATTGCTGAGAGGAACAGGTTTGCTAAGTGTGGTTGGGCCAAATGGCGTAATCACATCTCTTACGTACCCCTTTTGTTTTGCTCCGTTGTTGGCCCAGGTGCTGTACCTCACTGACTTGTACTTTTCTGCAATTGCATTGTGAGATGTTTTTACTCTCTTTTTGTGTTGCTTATGCATGACAGGCGACACGGGGTCTTGGTGAGGGATGAAAGATTCTCCGCATATAAGCTGCCACCAGAGGGTCGTTATTTCAAGCCTGGAGCCAACTATTCCGGAGCTGAGCATGCTGCAATGATTCGGGTATGTCTCGTCTCAACCCATTGTGCCCCACATGTTGTTCCACCATTGCTCGGAGACACTGGGGTCCAAATTACTAATAGGTGCACCTCAACGAACTTCGCTGCCCTCCTTCCCTCCCCGAAACCCCTCTCGCCCTCTCCCCCACCCCCAGGTAATTCTCATCATCATGGGTGATGGGCTACTCAAAGCACCCGTGAAGATGACCGTGCTGCGGTTTTTTGTGGGCTGGTACCACAAGTACTTCCGGGTGGACGAGTACACCGAGAATCTCCTTCAGCAATACATCATGGACACAAAAGAGTAAGTCAAAACTTTGCGTAACCCGTATTTTCATCCTCTCTAATCCAGGATCAAAACCCATATGTTCACATCAAACCCCCTCCCCGCAGGTTAGTCCGTCTACTCGACACGAACTTGCCAAGGGCGGGCCATAAATGGAAAATCGTGAAGATTCATGGGCTTGTGCATTTTCCGGACTTCGTCCGGCGTGGGGGTGCACCTGGGGAGTACAGCACCGGGCTATTTGAGCATGCACACACGACATCGTGCAAGCGCCCTTTCCGTGCCTCCAACTTCAGAAATTACGACGACGCCATCATGCGGACGTCAGAAATGAGATGTGCATTGCGGGACCTACCAAGCGTCTTCGATGATTTGCCAGCTCGTGAAACGGCTATTATCAAGGTACAACCCTTTGGGCGTATCTGCGCAAGCAGCCCAAGCACCTTGCCACACGTGCCTGCTATTGCCCTTACCATCCATATCCTCATTTAGCGGTAGTTGCACCCATCTCTGCAACCCACAGAGCCACTTCAGCATCGCTATTCTCTGTTGCTCCCCAACTCTTCTTGTTTGGATCCCTCTGCCATATTTTACCCTGCACACACCATGGCCACCCTTGCATTCACCCTCCCATGCTTTGTTTTGCCAAAAACAGACCAGCACACACCCATACCTTTTTCTTCAAATTCTGGGCCAGCCTTGCATTCACCCACCTTTGCCTTATTCTGCCCATTTCACTCCTACACAAACCCATTCAATTTACTTTGAACATGGGCCTGCCAAGCATTCACCCTAGCCAATATTGTTTTTTCCTAGCCAGCTCAACACACACGCACGAAGGTTTTTTCCAACTTGGGCCAGCCTAGCATTCCACCTCTCTTGCTATGATTTATAAACCCAATCCAATCCTGCACTCCCCCGCTCAAGCTCTTCGAGTCCCGGGCCTGCTTTTGCATTCACCCCCCCTGCTTTATTATGCCCAAAACTTACCTGGTCACACCCGACCAAGCTCACACTATCCCCCGTATCCCGAAACCTGCGCCTTCCTTTTAAACTCGGGCAGGCTTTGCAAAGTCTGCATCACCCCCCCTTTCCCCCCACGCCCCCCTCTCCTTCATTTTGCCCGAAATTCCATCGCTGCCGCTTATTGTCCACAGGTGGTTGCTCTTCCCAACAGTGCTCCACCGCACTCGACAACTGAAACTTGTCAAAACCCCCAATGCATTCACCCTCCCGTGTTTTTCATTGCACCACTTCCTCCTACACCCACACCTCACCCATGTTTATGATCGTTCATCCCTTGCCACCCGCTCAGTACCTATTTTGTCCTTCTCATTTTCCTCACACTCTCCCATTCATGCCCCATGCTGCGCATCACCCTGTTGACACGCGACACAAAACAGGCAGAAAAGCACCAGCACCCGGTGCTCACTGCAACCAGCACTGCTGTGACGCTGCCACACGTGCTGGAGGGCAGGAAGGGCGAAAGCACGTGGGAGGCGTTGTCAACACAACATGACCCTGGCATGACCGAATTTCCTGCTGCGCTTGCTCTTCATGACATAGAAGTGGACACGATTCATGTAAGTAGGTGTAGAAGACACGGCTGCAAGAACGGAAAAAAAAGAAGAGGAGAACAAACATGCTGTCATATTGCTATGGACTAACGATGTTGTCACCCCATGCTACAAAACGCAGGTCCACACGGCAGTGGCTCTCCCTGCCAGCGACATGAACGAGGGCCATTACGCAAGGGCAACTACAACCTTCCACGGGAGTCCCTGGTTCTCCTACGTCTCACTGGACAGCATGCTACTCGGGTCACCAATGCCAGACACCCCGCCTGTTCAGTATGGCCAACTACTCATGCTATTTCACGTCCAGCGCCGCACCGGACGAGACGTCGAGAAGCTACCATTTGCATACGTACGGCTGTTGGATGTTAGAGGCGAGGACAGAGAAACTTCATTTTTAAAGCTGGTAAACCATCGACGGGCTGACACGTACTGTGTGGTACACATAGACGCTATATTGAGGGCAGAACATGTGGTACCAATGTTTCAACGGACCACTTTGAGGTTGCTGAACAAATATGCTTGGTGATGCAGTGTTTACTATTACTTAAAGTTTGAGGACTTTAAAAAGTAGTTGCATCTTTATCCTACATCCATGTATGCAAATTATATTGAAGACGAAATACGAGCTTCACACCAGTATTTTCAACCCTGAAGCAAGATACATATAATCTTCAAACGCATCCGCAGCTCAAAACCGAAGCGACAAAATCAAAGCCACCCAATCTGCTGGAGTTCCACCTTCCACAAAACAATCATTTGAAACCCTGGTACCCACAATGCTGTAACAACGAAACGAACGGCCAATCACATTCAACTCCACAGGTTCCTCGAACTTCCGACGAAATCGCTGGTGTAGGATTCCCGAGTCGCGCGCGCAAGAAAGCAATCAGAGCGGAAGATTTACAAAGCAACTCTGTAATACGCCACATAATCCCCACCACCTCGACCTCACAGATTTTGGGATGACATTCATGCGCGGTTGTTGTTTTTTTTTGTTTTTTTTTTTTTTCAGTTTTCCGATGCGTAGACAGCGCTGGACGCGCTGCGCTATCCATCTGGTGTGGTTTTGCGCGTTTTGGCATCTTTCATTCGTGCTCGAGCTCTTGTTCCCCGCATCGTATGTTGTTGCGCATTTGCCGCCTGACAAGAGATGGTGCCCTTTGTGCCGTGCATACGTTGTTGTTGCCACATGACGCGTTTTGTGTTGTTTTTTTCCTGCTTGCTACCGCGCAATCGTCGGCTAGAGGGACTTTCTGCCTCGTACCAATTTGTGTTTTTCTCTGTCGGCTCTTGCTTCACGTTTTTCGGTTCCTGATTGGTTTTCTGCACTGCTGCGTGAGTGGCGGAGCTTTTGTGTCTCACGATTTTGCACCTGTCTTCATTGTTCTGCGTTAGCGAATGCTCTGGGGTAGTTGGCGGCATTCGCCTCCAAATTTTCAAAGCCAAGTTCTTCGCATCCCTCGCAGCCAATCAAACCCTGGCTCCACTTTTACGAGCCGCGCTCTCCAAAGGGGGACTTCGCGCCTTGTAACTTGGGACCTGGGCTTTAAAGCCGCGGTACACATTCAACCGATTTGTCCTGAGAGCTACAGTGAAATTAGGCTTGCATGACGCAGATTGGAGCGCGAAAGTGACGAGCGGAAGGAGATATGAACAAGGGGGAGCAGAAGCCAACCACCTCTCGTCAATTTCGCAAATCCCCCCTCGCGAGCAAATGTCGGAAAAACCTGCTCAAATAAGTTGTGCCAATGCATCCCTTCTCGGAAGTATGCGCGAACGGCAAAGGCAGGCGGAGAAACACATCGCAAGCAGCCGATCGCAACTAATTGCGACAGGCGATTGGTTGGCAAAAGGAAGAGAAGGGCCGCGAGTGAACGCAGGGCCAGAAACAGCCCACATGCCACTCGTACATTGTACGAGGTAAGAGGGAGAAAAGCAAACCACCAGTCAACAAGCCACCAATAAGAAAACCGAGTGTGCCATACGAAACCCAGGACGAATAGCAACCCACAGACCCAGAAATCTGGAGGCTGGCGAGCGCCCCACGCCCTACACCCTACGCCCTTGCCACACACCACCTGTGACGCGAGTCCCTTCCTTGCCTTGAGTGCAAAACCAATGCAACTACAGTACAAGAAAACGCGGACAGCCCAAAAACACACTCGCGAAGCACCCAAAGGCGACCCACTGAATAAGCTTGGAACGCAGACTGGGGGACCTAGATATTAGGACAGCGACAGAGAGTAGGACACGTAGAAAAAAGATACGCGAGGCAAGGGGTGGCTGCTAAAGCCAGGTAAATCCCCCCCATATGAGGCAGTCCCTACAGAGAGCCGCACACGGGAAGCTGGAAAGGAAAAGCATGTGTTGTAAAGTACAGCAAGGTTCTCTCACCCTAACGCCTCCCGCCATCCGTGCATAGATCCCCGCATCAAATAACGCTGAGCCGCGCAGCCCATTCTAGTCGTGCGTCATGTCTCTCCCCCCTAAACCCGGCTCCACAGGGCCACTAAATCCGACGATGGTGGCCCCCCATCGTTGCATTACTCCGAAACCAAGAAACGGCAAACCCAGAACGCACATAGCGCACCCTCGCAACGGGTGTTCCACGGGTAGTGCGAGGCACGCGCCTCACTTCAGTGAGCGCTTCACACAACTGCCGCTCGTGGCGCAACTCAATTCCCCGCAATACATTGCTTGCTTTGCTGACAACCCGCTCCTCAATTTCCCTTCCATCTACACCTCAATGCCCCATGACACAGTGCCCTTGCATACGCTCCTCACATCTCCTCCATCTGCACCTCACTTCCACACCTCCCATGCTCCTCACCTCCACACCATCCAGGGTATGGCATGCGACAAAGATGCTGATGCGGGGCCAGCTATACAAGACTTGCGGGATGTGGCATCCAATGGTGAAACCAAGACCTTGGCGGTATCGAAGCACATGCAACTGCCAATCTGCTACCTGCAAATCAGGCTATCCTGCCTCATGGGAAGGATCGCAACTCTAGCGGACCTCGTGTACTTCCTACTGATGGCGGGGGACGGGGCCAAGGAGAAGCTGATGGAGGCGGCATTCGCTGCCGGTACGTCATCATACTGGCTTGTCGTGATAAGGACAAAAAATGCCATTCGCACCCTGACAAATCTTCCCTCCATGTACTCCATGCAGGGTCTGATGGGAACGCCGCTAGCACAAGTGTTGATGTGCTTCTCCGAGCATACGGGAATAGTTATGGTGGAAAGGGGGAGGGGACTATTGGGACGCCATCCGAGGTTATGGAGCGCTAAGCACGTGCCATCGCAGGACTGCAGAATGGTTTTCCAACATACACTATGGACGAGGATGGGAAGCTACGGCAAAACGGAAAAGTGGTGCAGTGGGGAGGAGCGCGACGGGGCGCTGCGTATGCTGAGTCGAGGGAGCTTGGTGAGTGGGCGAAATGGATTAGGGCATGGCAGCAACTAGCAGAAGGAATGCTTTTGTGATACAAGGTTCTAGGTGCGCATACACATGTGGTACAGCCATGTCTCACTGTATAAGCACAATGACCAAGCCCCTGCCCCCATCCCTCGAGCCCCATCTTCGTTTCCTACCCTAACCCTCTTCACTACACCTTTCCCCAACATGACCATTACTCACACTCCCACGCAGCAAGGGAGAGCCAAACGTGCGCCAGGATCAACATGCCTCTGACCGACGAAGAGGAGGAGTGGCACGATGTGATGATTGACCTTAATACCGCTCCGGTTACACTGGTTGGCGAGGTGGAGATCAACACTACCCAGCTCATCCAGCACGAGGCGGATCAAGAGCCTCGATGTGACCAACCCGCCGCTAACATCCCAAACGTGTGCGTACTCTCAGTTATGGTGTGTGGGCAGGTAACTGTGCTTTGCAGTGCATTATTACATTTCGAGGAACCCAAGGTAGGTGATTTCCAGACATCGCGCAGCGTGTCGTGCCATAACCGCCTGCACTCTTTCCGTTATTATTCACGCCTCATCTCTCGCCACATTCCAGAACAAGCACGGCAGAGCACAACTTCGAAGCAACGAAAAGGCCCGACGGATGGTTTGCACCATCGTTAGTGGATGGATTGAGGAATGTCATTTGCTTGTTGGACCCCATCCATATGCTGCACTTCTTCATCCTGCTTTCATTGCAATGCACTACTGGTGTTGGGTGCAAGGGGCGTATGAGGATGCAAGGATGGAAGCCAGGATGGGCCGGGTTTGGAATGTTGTGGGTATGTGATGTGTGCAAGAAGTCCACACCCGTTTGGTCGATAAAGCGACAGCCAGACGGGACCAATCCCACGGTGGCCGGTCGAAAACGACTGCCATTGATGCAAAGGTTTATGGCTGCCTTTGCACTAGGGGGCATAGGCTACCAAGTCATGTCTGAGGTCAGCAGGGATGTTGGTGTGCCGGTGCCATGTAAGACTACGTTCTACAAGTATATGAAGGGTGCCGGGGGTTTATGGGAGACCATCATTCGGCATGCTGACAAGTGCATGGAGTGTGTGAGGGAGGGCATGAAAAAACGCCCAATCCCAGGGCATTGGGTCTGTGTGGACGGCCGCTGGGGCCAACCAAGGGAGGCAGAATGGGCAAGTGTGACTTTTCTAGACCCTACGACCCTGAAGGTGCTGCATTGTGTAACCGTGTCATGCACCGAGGAGGGGGTTTCAGCGACGGCTCTTGAGGGGGTGGCGTTCCACCGTGGGCTGGATGATCTGAAAAAATGGGGATTCAAGGTGGATGGAATTATTACTGATGAGGGAGGGACTTTCAAGGCAGCCATAATCCGCACAGACATACTGCACCAGATGGATGTCTGGCACAAGGGCAGGTCGTTGGCTAAAAAGCTCGCGAAAGACATGGTCGATGCACGCAAGCGCGAGTTGCGTGTTGAGGAGACACTGACCATTGAGGACCTGTGGGATGTTCTGCCTGTGCATTTGAGGGGATGGCTGCGTGGTAAACTTGGTGAGAGTTTGCCTGGCATAAAAAAAAGAGCGACAAAGAAGGAGTTGATTGCTGCTGTATGCAAGGAAAGGGGGGTGGAGTACAGGGATCTCTCAGCATCAACATCACCGTTCTTATACCCTGAGATGCGGCAGGTTCAGCGTGTCCGTCGTGAGAGCCCCACGAGTGTTGGCCATGATGGCAATCGACGGGAGGAGGGTGGGTGCGTGGGGAGTGGTAATAGGGACGAGATGCGGAGTTCTGAAAGGGTTGTCGGAGAGTTGGGCGCTGTTGAGGTGGAAGTTCAGCAAAAGATGAACCACGGGGGCGTCGTGAACCAGGATGGATGCCACCTGACCGGGAAAGAGTTTGAGCCTGGATTTGTTTCAATCGATATACTCGAGGACAATTCAGACCCACCGCTTGATACCCCACCCCCGGATGTTGAGTACGCCGATGTGCGTGAACTTTGGGGGTATGACCCCCATCACACGAACGGGGTGCGACCCTGCTCGGTAATCTCGTTCATGATTTTGCAGGCAGCAGGCCAGACATGCAGGGGGGGGGGTGCAACAGCAGCA